GGAGTATGCCTACATCAGGCTGTTTCTTGACTAGGCTGTGCAACAACTCTGAATTTTGGCACTAACCCCCAGACGTTAATGAGGTGGTTCCGGGTTGACAGGGCTGTATTTGTTATTGTTATTTCCAGTGCCGAGGTTGATGCAGGCAGTCCATCTGGTTTAGTTCCTTTTTTCGGAACCTTTCTAGTGGCTTATACAACCAAATGGCTCTGAAGACAGCCAACAGTCAACCACATTGCTGTGGATCTGGTGTCGCATGTAGTCCTGAATTGGTAAGGTCTCCTCCTGCCTCGGGCAAACAAACAGCAGAGCTAGGATGAAGTGCCTAATTCATTACTAATTGGCCAATTGGCCTTAGTTGACTCAAGGGCTTGAGAATCAGTTGGGGTCGGCAGGAAGGCAGTGCGCTGCATTTTACAAGCCACCCCACCTTCAAATTCCACAGTAGGGGAAAAGTACACAGAGCCATTTACAGCACAGAATGCAGCCATTCAGTCCATAAAGTTCATGGTGGCTGCCCTCAGAGCAACCCCTTCAGTCCATTTCACCTTCTCAAAGCAGAAAGATTATTTCCCATCAAGAACCCATCCAGTTTCCTTTTGGATCATCCGCTGTTTCCACATCCACCAACCTCATGGGAATGTGTTCCAGGAAATTCCAGAGAAACCTGGTAACAACACTGGACATGACACTATCACTTGGAAATTAACTGTCACCCAAGGGAATCAATGTCATCAATGCACTAAACTCGACCCCCATTTCATCCAAGTTCAGCACTAATTCATACTTCTCTTTTCCCTAAGGTACAATTATGGAGCTGATAGAGAAGATGAGGGCTGAGGCAAGAAATCCTCAGTGGAGGACACATGCTCTGAAACACTCTGAGTCATTACATGACTCCTGCACACACCTCATTATCACATATACAGAAACACCTTGTTATGTCCAGCAACAGATAAATAGAGTCGTACGTGGTGAGGTACATATCACATGTGAGCATGGGCAGATGCTGGAGTCAAGAGCGGAGAGTACCCATCAGCTGGCGCAGGAGCAAGCTCTGCTCTGTTGAACACAGATGTTGGAGGTTATACATTAAAAGGTAACTAGTGGAGTAGCATTAGAAGATGTTTGTGGGTCAGTCAACATTTCTATAGGCCATGTGTCCCATTGCAGAGAAAATGGAGCATGTTAGTATGAGTGCTGCAATATCTACATTCATGACAAATCGACAGTCAGAGTGGCCGCACTCATGGAGAATCAGACGAGGCAGACCACTGAGTGTGTGCTGCACTACACTAATGACCATCACTGCCAGTTGAATCAGCATTGATCGAAGATTCACATTGTAGCTGAATGGTACACTATAATGCAACCACCTGCTTTCCTGCTTTTGGTGAACAAAACATGCAGGCAGGCCTGAGAAGAAAGAATTTGAACCAGCACGTGTCGGGTGCTATTTGCAAGGTGCCCCCAATTCTTCACCCTTGCCCTCCTCAACCCCCAACACATATTGCTTTCTGCCTTGATGAACAGTTCTGTCCCTGCAAACTGGAGGACAGGCAGTCTTTAATAAGTCATCAAGGGCTCCAAAATCCAGAGAAATTCAACCATGAGCATCTCATCCATCAGAACAGTGAAATGAGCAGCCTATTTCTCACTTTATGGAAGCCACAGGGATAACACCACATAGCTGTCATAGAAAGCATAATCAGATTGGTCAGCAGCTCTCTAGCATAGATCTTCCTCGATGGGGGCAGAAATTCAATCAACCAATTAAAGTTGGCCATAGCGTCATATGGCCGAGTCACAGGGTTGGTAGAGCACTGAAAGTATCCATTATGTCTGCAGGGGCTCTCCAAATGAATAATGCACCTGGTGCCATTCACCTGCCTTCTCCACATCATCCTCCATGTTCTTCCTTTTTTAGGTAAAAATATAATGCCCATGTGAATGCCTCAATTGGAGCTACCTCCACCACAGCCTCTGGCAGTGCAGTACATATTGCTGCAGGTGAACTGGATTGCTGGACTGCAAGGTACCCACTGACTTGTCAGTCAGGGCAAAGGTGATTGCAAGTAATCCATCCCCAGTGATGTTCTCAGGCATGAGAAATCTGCTTTGCCACATAGCATAGATCCAACTGTTGCATTTTGGAAATCTGTCATTGGAAATACCTTTTCCTGACCTTGTTACTGGGGGTTAAAAAAATTTGTGCCTGAATCAGATCACTGTGGCCTCCACAGAAGAAAGGTAAACGAGCTGAGTGGTATTATTGATATGTAATGGCAGGGTTTGGGAGGGGTAGGGAAGGCAGTTGGAGGCAAACCTCATGAGGGGTATTGACACGCGGGGGTGGGGGTGGAAATGGGCTATCAGGTGCTTTCAGGTAAAAGCTCTCAGGGGCATGTGGCAAGCAGGGGGGTTTGGTGCTGACAGAGTTCACCGTGAACCAGGAGGGGGCTTTCTTTTTGAAAGACTTCCATTGCCCTCATGTAGATTTTCCTACAGATAGCTGCTCCTAGTCCACTTGGCCAGATCATATCCCACCATATTAAAATCGGCCTGCTCCCAATTCAGAATCTTTATTTCCTGTCCTCATCTACCTTAAATCTAACTTTTTTATTGTCACTATATAGTTATTGTTGTTTCTCAAATGGCTGCATCATCTTATGAAAAAGTTAGTGAGACTTGAAAAGGAGCTCCTGAAAATCAAAAAATAGCCTTTGAGAAATCATAAGACGACTCCACAGAAATAAAAAAAAGAGTTTGAGTCCTGCTACATTCATGTTGTGAAGGACCCAACAAATCATTATCATCTGGGAGATCCTTGCTGGGCCAGAGTAAAGTGCATTTTCAGATATATTCAGTCAGCAGAACCTTAAGTTCAGCAAACCAATAGCTTGCTTTATTGTTGCCTTGATGTTGACATGGCCCTTTTGTTGCTCTCTTGCGGCCCTGTGGTGGGATTCTTCACTGAAATCATCAATCACGTGTTCACTGAGTGTCCATTATCTACCCAGATCCAACCACTGAGGCTGTTTAGCAGGAGAGAGGAGCTGCACAACCTGAGACTGTCAACGTATGATTAATGATTTATTGTCACTTGCATTTTACAGTGGATAATACACAGTGAAACACAGCAAAAAGCTTCAACAGTTGCTACAATCGGGCACCATTTCAAGTAGTTCAATAATAAAAAGGATAAACAATATAACTGAAAGAGAGTTCTGAGCCCTGAGCCAGCTCACCAACAACATCTGTGCCACCAGCCCTCCTCCACCATCTCGCCGCCGCCTGTGTGGATCCACCAACATAGGAGTCACCACTCTTTAGGTGCCATTTCTTCAGCATTGGGCTCACCTTACCATCACCGATGCCAGGTCCTGTGCTGAACCCGCACTCACCCTGCAACCAGGAATCACTGGCTCCACTCCCACCTCGATGACGCCTGGAGTCCTGGCTTCAGGACTACAAAACCTGTGTTGAGGACCTCCTTTGATCTGCAGCCCTCTGTCCTGACCAGTTGCATTTGTCTGTGAAGAAGGCAGCTGCTGTTGTAGTTACTGAGCTGGAGCAAGCTGCTGCTCCTCTTCAGAGGTCCAACCAACTTCAAGCTAAGTAGACCTCATGTCATAGGGATGTTTTGCAGGCAATAATGTGAGATGACTCTTGGACATATCCAGGATACTTGCAATAAATTGCACAGATTTGCTATTCACAGCAAAATCAGTGATTTCAGACTGAAGAAAATGTTCCTGTTAGTTTAAGCCTTTTTTCACAGTTGACCACAGCCATGTCAATTTCACCTTTTACGATGCTCATATCATGTGAATTTCATGCTACAGTTGCTTATCACAATGCCCTCGCTTTTTGTGACCTTGCAAGTTGTAGACACTGCATGTAAAGCAGGCACTCTGGTAAAAAGGAATTCCATGCTTAAAAAGGTGCACTAGAGTGGTATTTTCAACCCAACATCTTGTCCCAAAGATTTGCCACTTACTCATCGCCAAACCCACTTCCAAAAACATGGGAAATTCTGCCATTCATAACCATGTGAAAGATGAAAAATGATCCCTATGTCATATGTATTTTATATGTATAAATATATAAGATGTTTAAAACTGTATAGCCACATACTACAAACACAATCAAAGGCCAAGATTATAACTGCCAGGAGATGTCTGGCAAGAGTTTGTGCTGGGAATTTATTTTCCCATCCATGGTGGAAAGACACATGGCTAGTTAAATCCTGCCAACATACATGATACCTGTTTCAGGTAGGAACACAACGGGAAATTATGGAAAACCACATGCCCAGATAACTTCCACTACACCTTTGGCACATCTTGAGATATGGATGACATTTGATCACTCAGTTTGAGGAATTATGACTGTGCCACAGCTTTATAGTAAAGAACAAATGAGTCTGTGCATTCTGGACAAATTTAAATAGAAGAACAGAACAGTTTAAAGCATGAGATATTGAACAATATAGAAATAAAAATACTAATATAAAGAACAAGGTAAAGAATCAGAGTAGGAGATACAGAGATGAGCAAATCAAGAGAAATGAGAAGAAAATTAAAATAATGGAAGACTGAATGAATGATCATGCAATTGACTGACACATCCTTTATTACATCATGTGAATAGACCTGAGCTAAAACATGGAGAGAAAAATATGACAATGTTCTGCTTTAACTAAGTACAAGACTAGTCAATAGAATTTAGCCATGACTTATATTCAGTAACAATTTTGGCAAATCTGCGACATAGTAGCTTTCAGCCTCTTGGAGAGACAAGTTTTTAAGATGAAGATCCTATCCATTTATCTCATTGCTACTTCAGGCATCTGCTAATTTTTATAGGAGGTGGATACATTTTATATTCTCAGATGGCCACCCTGTAGCTTTAGCACAAACTAGATAGACTAATTCAATTCACTAACTAACAGTTGACCTGAGTTTGTGTCCCTTAAGTAGAAAATAAAGCAGCCTGACCTGCTGGAGATCCTGGTTTGGTTCGGATGTCAAGCGGAGCTCCATTATTCTTTGAGGAAGGAGTTTTTGCCCCCTGTTGTTTTTCCAGTTCCCCTGCAGTAGGAATTTAAAATGAACCATGAATTTGACAAGAATTTAAATACAACTATTTTACTTCTATATTTTCAAGGAGATTCTAACTTACAACTTTTTCAATTACTTGCTGTGCAAAGCCACTGAAAAGAAAAATCATCCACGACGACATTTTTTTTCATAGAATCCCTACAGTGTGGAAACAGGCCCTTCAGCCCAACAAGTCCATACCGACCCTCAGGGCATCCCACCCAGATCCAACCCCCTGTAATCCACCTAATCTACACATCCCTGGGCACAATGGGCAATTTAGCATGGCCAATCCACCTAACCTGCACACCTTTGGACTGTGGGAGGAAACCGGAGCATCCGGAGGAAACCCACGCAGACACGGGGAGAATGTGCCAATTCTACACAGACAGTTGCCCGAGGGTAGAAGCGAAGCCGGGTCACTGGCGCTGTGAGGCAGCAGCGCTAACCACTGAGCCACTGTGCCGACATTTTCCTCTCTGACCTTTTTTTGGTTGAAAACAGGATTGTCCTTGAAGTTAAAAGTAGTGGGTTAAATCTGGCCTGCCAACCTGCTGGCAATTTATTTCCCTCTACTGGATTCTATGCAGCAGATGAAAATAACCTTGAACTAAGATTTTGATTATAAACTTATACCAAGGGAAATGAAAACACAGTCAAGTGGTAAATAAAGCCATATTCCAATAAGTGCAATCTGTTCAAATCCGCCATCAGGCTGTCCCTCGAACTATTGCCCATTGCCATTTAAACAAGGCTGACATCTTGACCTAATAGAGGCAGAACAGCAGCTATGTGGGAGATTACATAGAAGCAGAGTGAACAAAATAATCAGATGGTTTTTCAAAAATGGAAAATTGGATGAGTGTCAACTGTGATTGTGTTTTGCTGCTTGCACCTAACAATTTATTTTCAATTCTACCAAAAAGGTATTAAAATTGGAACAGTTTGAATAAGAAATGTTGATTGAACAATTTTTTTTTCTGTGTCAGGATGAACAAAACCCAGTGTCTTTTCAATCATAATCATTTCACATGCAAGTTCTAGTAACTCAATGCATTTTAAAATGATTTACAGCAGTGTCTCACGGTTGTAAAAATAAATGAATAAGGGCTTGAGTGGAAAATAAATTATTCAATCAGGGGCCTTCATTTCTTTGATTTAATAAGCTTTGTTATTTTGGAAGAAAAACCTGGTAATATTTGGCAATACAATTTTATGCAATCTATGCAGTAAATAGAGAGGAATCCATCCTCCAGGGTGTGTATTTTGATCTCTCAGGACAATAGTATAGTCTGTACTGTGCCTTCATTGAAACTAGCTGCAAGATGCCAGATCTAGTCAGCACCTCATAGTAGAGGTCACATGACTACAAGCCAGGAAACACATTGGTACGGGTTACACTTCTAACTCAAGCATCTTACTTTTCCTTCAAAAGAAGAAAAAACAAGACATGCATTATCATGTAGATTGTGTGTTATGCAATGTATACATGACTGTTGTGATCCATTAGCAGTCATTCTCATCCGTTTCTGCATATGCATTGCATGGATAGCCTTTAAATCATGCCTGTCTCCTAATGGTACACATGTGCATTGTCATTAGCTGCTCATTTGGGTGACCTTCCCTATCCGGGGAGTGACATTCACATGTCATTTACTGTTGTCACGGTACCTGTTGCTGGGATGCTGTAGACCTCTGGGTCTGATGGTTGATCTGTGGACTGCACTGGTGGTGAGTTCACACTATCCTATTGGCTGTCTGCAGTTAAGGAACACCTTCTCCGGTTATGCACAAGTGCCTGTGGTTGTGATGGTATATCTGGTTACTTACTTCCACTACGTATGATCAAGGTGACAGTTGATGTACACAGGCCCCAAGCTGTGACTTAGGTTCATTCTTGTTGACAGTAGTGAAGGTCTGAACCTTGATTGGCTCTTCAGTGCTCATCTCTGGCAATGGTTTAGCATTCTTACCTGGCTCGATGTCAAAAATGTTCAATAATGTTCCCCTGAAGTGTCCTGGGACATTTTCTTACACGTGTGGGTCTATGGAAGCAGCCCTTCAAGATCAATGCCAATACCATCAAAATATTTTATTCATTTCTATGTATAATCTTCTCACAAATTTATTAAGAGAAGGAAAATTTGATGGACAATCCTCATTTTTTTGGTTTTTTTCTTTATTCTTTCACAGGATGAGGGCATCGCTGGCTAGACCAGCATTTATTGCCCATTCTTAATTGCCCAGAAGGCAGTTAAAAGTCAACCACATTGCTGTGGGTCTGGAATTACATGTAGGCCAGACCACATAAGGATGGCACCTTCCTTCCCTAAAGGATATTCATGAGTCAGATGGGTTTTTCCCGACAATCAACAATGGATTCATGGTTATCACTTGATTCTCAATTCCAGACATTTACTGAATTCAAATTCCACCATCTGCCATAGCTGGATTTGAATCTAGGCCCCCAGAACATTATCTGGGTCTCTGGGTTAACAGTCCAGCGATAATACCTCAAGGCTATCACCTCCCCTATGAGTTAGGCTTGTTTCTGTAGTAAAATGTTTCTTTCCATGAAACCACCTGATTTCCCCAGCAGGACAACTATTAATTAACCTCTCCTGGCATCTTGTTCACTTCTCTGATAATGATGCACAGCAACAATGACATGTTGGTAATGACCCTCGTTCCTGTCTGGAAGTATCCACAAGCATTGAAATGGAGGGCCACATTGATCTTCACAGGAACTGGCAACACAATCCTCATCCCATTGTGCAGTTGAAATTCCAGTTATAGGAAATGGAACACTGCTCCTAGCTTTGTTTGGATGAAGTTGTTAAAGGAGCTTTAGCAGGTTGTTGCTGTGCCTCTTGTAGATGCTAGATGTTGCTGCATTGTGTGATGTGAGCGAATGTTGAAGGAGGTGGATGGGGAGTCAATCAAGTGGGTTGATTTGTCCTCGGACGATTCTGAGCTTCCCGAGTGTTGGGGTTGCACACATTTGGGCATGTAGACATTATTCTATCAAACTCCTTACTTGTGGCTTGTAGCTGCTAATTGTGAATTATTCAATGTGGGATTCACAGCATCTGCACTGCTCTTGTTGCCACAGTATTTATATGACTGGTCTAGTTAAGTTTCTAAAGCTTCAAACTCTGTCCTCTAAAAGGACAAGGGCAAGGGGAAGCAGGTGCTTAGAAATGCCTCTACCTGCAAATTCCTTTTCAAGTGGTGGGGTATTTGGGGAGGGAATAACAGGGAAATGATCTTCATGCAGCAAAATGTATGTATAGCTGGGATTTTAACAGACAGCATTGATAGAGCCTGTCAGGTCCAGAATAGCAGTATGTATACAAAATTGGCATTAGATACTGTTTGACACCATGAACTGACGACTCAGCATGTTTCTAGTATGTTTGCTACATTCCAATGCCAGCACCTTACAATCATGATGTGACTTACAGGTCAGGTGCAATTCCACCACCATTCTACAAGCTCTCAACTTCTGTTGTATTCTGTTGAATCAAATGGTACAGCTATTGCCTTTTAATAAATTCTCAATACCTTTTCTTGTACCTTAAGTTTCTTCTGTATGAACCATACATCTGGTGGTTTGAAGATAAAGACTAACAGAGGTCAGCAAGTTTAATAACACTTCCATTTTCATTCTGCCAAGCTCCTCTGCTTTAAAATGTATCATAAGAGAGCCTTTGGTTGAAATGTAGGGATACATTGGTACAAGATTTCCATGGTTTATGGTGAGTAATTGTTTGAAATGTTAAAACTACACCTCTCCAAACACTTGTTCAAACAATTCTGGTGTCAAACATTTAGACAAGTTTCACCATGACTATGTGACAGTTACAGCTTGCTGTCTTTAATCACATTCCTGTTTTTGACATGAGATGACACCTCAAGTACATGCTGAGTCACAGCTGAAAATTTGCCCAATTTCTCAGTCTGTGATTCATTGACACTGTAAATAGTATAAAATTTCAAATATATTTTACAGACTTCAAAACATTTCGACAAAACAGCGATAAGAAACAGGTTTCACATCAAAACAATCTTGTAAATGCTGAACATGGTAGTAACTAACATCCGGAGGGAATTAAAAATAATCTCTCAGGGATTAAATTAGCAGAATTAAAATTCAATCTGTATCTTCTTTCAGGAGTAGGTAGAAACATTACATAATTTTATTTTAATTTATGAGGAAATTTTGGTACAATATTTATATAAGCAGATCTGTTAAATATCAATCAATTTGAATGAGGCTCACGCATTTTGGTACAAACACTTATTAACTCCATCTCATAACAAAAATATTAGGTCATTGAATCCCTAAAGCCTGTTCTTCTAGTCTATCAGTTCATGGCTGAGCTGTATCTGCACTCCATTAACCTCTCTTTGCTCTGTATCCCTTGATGCCCTTAAGTAAACAAAGGCTTATCAATCTCACTCTTGAAAATGTCGATTGACTCACAGCTGAAAATTTTTCCAATTTCTCACTCTGTGATTCATTGTTGCTGTGGTATAAAATTGCAAACATAATTTGTGGACAAAACATTACCACAAATTCTGAATTTGTTCTGAACTTTCACTACTCTTTGTGTGAAAAAGTTCTTACTCATTTGAGTTGAAATGGACGAACTGTAATTTTTATGATTATGGCTAATTCTTTCAAATTCCTGACCAGAGGAAATATCTACTTTATAATTTTAGACATCTCAATTTGATCATTCCTCAACAATATAAATATAAGGAGGTTTATGCAACTTGTCCTCATAATTTAGTTCCATTCTGATAAATCTGCACTGTATCCTCTCCAACGCCAATATATATTTCCTGAGGATTGATGTCCGAAGCAGAATGCAATGCACTAGGCAGGGTGAGAACTTAACTTCATCATTCAACCCTTTTATTCTACCCGCCTCAATATAAAGATTAACTTTCCTTTAGCTTTTTTGATTACTTTTTGTATGCGTCCACCAGCTTTAAGTGATCTCAACAGCTGGGGTTTCAGCTTTTTGCTGTATTGATAAGTGACTGAGACGTAGGAATAATGAACTATACATCCAAAGAAGCTAGGAACTATGGAGCAGCAATGAAACTAGGGCCCAAATACAGAAATACAAATCTAGTGAACAGGTATATTAATAAACGGCTAGTGCAATGTTGGCATTTATACCAAGATGACAGAAATAGAAAGGGGAGTGATCTGCAACTGTAATGAATGCTTTCCTTGCAGCAAGGTTTTGTATCTAATGCAATGATGCAATGCTTATGTTAGATGTTAGCTCGTAGAATACAAGAACTAGACATAGTTAATGTGGTCCTTAAAAATTCAAAAATCATTTACTACAGCTGCTGATATATACACATATGACAGGCACAGGCACTTTAGGTCTGAGCTAACATTAAACTCTCTGGTTATTAACAGCAGCAAAATTTCATCAGCATGTCTTCTAGTTACTTCAAATAACCCTGGTTACGACAAAGTGTCAGGCCTTTTAACTTTCAGGTCACATATAGTGATGATATGATAGGCATGTCTTTTAGAAGTGTACTAAATATGAACTGTGAAGCATAACACAACAGGGAGGAAGTTAGGCAATGGTTGCATGAAGTCTGATCAGTCTCCATTTAGAATTCTGCAATAATTTCTGATCATTGTGCTTCAGAGAGAATATATGGCCTTCTTAGGAGTGCAGTGCAGATTCATCAGAATTATATAAGGGATAAAAGCATTAAGGGTTACGTATCAGAACAGGTACAAAAACAGAAGTTGCTGGAAAAGCTCAGCAGGTCTGGCAGCATCCATAGTTCTTTCGGTTTTTATATCAGAACAGGTTATGTTTTGTGTGGGTCTGTATTCCTTGGCAGATGAAGACTAGGGAGTGATGTAATGCAGGTGTGAAGGAGATGACAGGGTAGGTAGAAGATATCATCTTATCAAGACAGGAGGCGGGAGGGGAGTCTGGGACAAGGTGGTCTAACCGCAAAAAGCGAGGTAGTGAGGTATGATGTCAGACGGCACTCCCTTATATAAGTAGTGGAAATTTGGAACTCTTTCATAACCGGCTCGTGATGCTGGTGATCAATTACAGGCTTAATTCCTGAGTCTCTTCTATTTTTATTAGGCATTAAGTATTAAAGATTACAGAACTAAGATGGATAAGTTGAGTTAACATACGTATCAGCACTGAGTTTTTTGTCTGTTGGAACATGCTGAGGGACTGTGTGACCTACTACTATTCCTGTACTCCTTTGGGAAGTATAGAGGTTATACATAATATATCACAGTACATGCAGCTTAATTTGAATTTAGTTTTACCAAGGGAGAAACTTGTAAACTCTGAATGAAACATACTTTTAAAAGAAATAAGAAGGAGTAACCTTTAAAATACTGGTAGAACGTTTCGATGTATGCTTTCCTCAAACAGGATATTTTACCTGATGTGGCAAGGCATATGTTATCTCCTGTAGCAGAGGAAACTGGGCATGGAAATCATGCCATTGATGCACCCAATAAACATTTATTACGGACAACTATTATGTTACAAACATTACATTCACAGGCACATCAGTGTCTGGGCTGACAGTAAGCACGCAGGAGAGCAGGTTTCCAATAGGATGTCATGCTTTCAGTGATCCCAGGGTAAGATGGAGTATAACAGCCAAGATTGTTATATCCTCAGGTCATATGTTATGACAGAGTAATAGTATCATGAGCAGGTCACTTAAAGATATACTGAGATGGATATGGAACACAGCAAATTCTATTTCTCACACATCAGTTAAAAATATTCAGAGATAGTAGGAACTGCCGATGCTGGAGAAACTGAGATAACAATGTCTTTGGTAGTGGGGTCAGATTGCAGGTGGCAGAACGAGGCGGCGCCTCGTGCTCCCACGAGGAGCTCAAACAGTTCATCCACTTCACTACCACCTTCCACCCAACCTTAAGTTCACCTGGACCATCTCCAATACCTCTCTCTCCTTCCTGGACCTTTCTGTTTCCATCTCTGGCAACCACCTGGAAACCCATATCCACTTTAAGCCCACCGATTCCCACAGCTACCTAGAGTACACCTCCTCGCTCCCACCTTCCTGCAAGAATGCCATCCCCTATTCCCAATTCCTTCGCCTCCGCTGCATCTGCTCCTGAGATGAGGCATTCCACTCCCGATCATCCCAGATGTCCTCGTTTTTCAAGGACCGCAACTCCCCCTCCACAGTGGTCGAAAACGCCCTCGACCACATCTCTCACATTTCCCACAACTCATCCCTCACCCCCGCTCCCCGCAATAACAAAAAAAAACAGAATCCCCTTCATCCTCACATACCACCCCCCCACCAACCTCCGGATCCAACGCATCATCCTCCGGCACCTCTGCCACCTGCAATCTAACCCCACGACCAAAGACATTTTTCCCTCCCCACCCTTATCTGCTTTCCGGAGGGACCACTCTCTTTGTGACTCCCTTGTCTGCTCCACACTCCCCTCCAGCCACACCACACCCGGCACTTTTCCCTGCAACCGCAGGAAGTGCTACACCTGCCCCTACACCTCCCCCCTCACCCCCATCCCAGGCCCTAAGAAAACCTTCCACATCAAACAGATGTTCACCTGAATATCTGCTAATGTGGTATACTGTATTCGCTGTTCCCGATGTGGCCTCCTCTACATCGGGGAAACCAAGCGGAGGCTCGGGGACCACTTTGTGGAACACCTACGCTCGGTTTGCGACAAACAACTGCACCTCCCAGTCGC